AAAAATTTGAATTTCTTTTTAAAAAAATTGGATTCATTTTAATGTCAGCTTATTTGTTTCCAATTGTTTCTAAGTCCTTTTGGTTCTCTTTTACCAAAGATGATTGTTTTCCTGGTTTAAAAATATTTTATGATTTTGTATAGAAGATCTGTGTGTATATATACACATAAATAAATGGGGGTACTTTGTTCAAAAAGTATTAAGAATGTGTTGACCAAAACACAGTAGAACATTAGATTAAGTTCCAGACTCTTACGAGCCTCGGGCCCTTTGTGACTACACAGGTCAGGGCCCTGGGAAGCTGAGTAGCCCCTATGTTTTGAAGGAATTAGGGTGATTTCTTTGTGATTTTCTGATCTAATTCATAGTTAACAAGAACACTGAGAAAAGGCTCAGGAGAAAAGGAAATAGCTTTAGCATAAAATGAACCAAAAACACTCCAGTCACCAAGGCAAGTCCAAAAGCTGCAGGCTTCTTTTGCACAGTTTATACTTTTGGATATCTGGGGGCTTCCCAACATCTGGTGGCTGATTTGATCTCTGTGCAAATATGAGAAAGAACCTGTATGAATTACCCTGGTCTACACCCTTAGGAACTCAAGGTACTAATACTATACCACCTTTGAGTGGCATGATGCTCTCTGAGTGCTTATGGGTTGAAGTGCTTACGGATTTCTCTCCAGCTAAGGAGCAGAAGGAAATTCTTTTGCTTTCTGCTCATCTGGATGTCATAATGTTACATTGCACAGAACCAGAAAGGCAGAATTGATTTGACAGAGCTGTTACGAAGTGAAATCCCTCATCTAAGCTGGCAAGAGTCATAAGAAATATGTAGTAGGCCAACAGCATGCATTTTTATAACACAATACATTTACAATATTACATACTGGAGACTACTTTTGACAGAGAGAAGCATATATATGTAGAATTGGATTGCATTTTCTAACTATTCCATGTTTCATTAAATTGCACATTGTTACAAAAAGAATTAACCTTCAGAAATGATGTTCCCAAATTAATATTACTTTTAATAGGTGACAGTTTTTTACAAATCATATAAATCAATGGGCCAAATTAATTCTATTATTTTTCTTCATTCTACTAA